TCTTGAGCTGTTTTTCATCTCAAAGTAAGTACAGGAACTACACTGAAACTGCATGTATTAGGGTGCTTGAAAACAAATACTAGGAAGTGATTGATTTGTGGGGTTTAACGTCCCAAAATCACTATTTGATTATGAGAGACGCCGTAGTGGAGGGCTCCGGAAATTTTGACCACCTGGGGTTCTTTAACGTGCACCCAAATCTGAGTACACGGGCCTACAACATTTCCGCCTCCATCGGAAATGCAGCCGCCACAGCCGGGATTTCATCCCGCGACCTGCTGGTCAGCAGCCGAGTACCTTAGCCACTAGACCACCATGGCGTCTGGGAAGTGAAATGTGCAGAGTATTCTCACTTCTTTTAGTGGGACACTGCGTCGTGACTGTGCAATCTCCGCATTCGACAGCACTCACTTCATGTCTGTTCTATAGACATATTGTTAGCTAATTTTTACTACTCTCAGCATCCCAAATGCAAACTTTCTCACATGCAGCATTTGAAACAGGCAATTAGTAGTATTCAAATCTACACAACATAACTGGGCTTGAACCCATTTATAAGAGTGGGATTTTGACATTATCATGTGCAAAGTGCCATGGTCCTGCATATCATGTGGAATCATACTACTGAGTGACAGTGCCAAACATAATGTACTAGTAATGAAACTGTTTGGTTTTGCTGACAATAAAACGAACGAGGGCAGCTTCTGCTACTTGGAAATACGATCAATCGAAGTGCAGGGGACTCTCTGCGAAAGCCATATAAAGTTTCTAATTCAGTGGGCCTTTTCACGGGTACATGCTTATTTTCAAGGGTCTTTAATAAGCCAAGGATGCTTACTGTTTGCTGGCTGTTATCCCTGTTGCTCTGGGTCATGCTTCTTCTGTGAGTGCAGGTTTAAGCAGCGTTATCATGCACGATATTCCTGCAACAACACGTTTTTACGTGTCAATGCTGGCGACGCGTACAAGTTGAGCCAATGTTTCTGTGAGCAGACGACACTCCGCTAGCGCTCCAGCTTCCCATAATGCTTTGCGATCGCCATAGGTGACATGCTGGAATTTCCGGAAAAATTCATTGGTGTTTACTTTCTTCTTAGTGCTAGAGATGTGCTGTGGGTTCAGTGCAACAATGTGCTTGACGCGCATCACGGTATCACCTGCATCACGTTCATCACGGCTTGACACTTTTTCGTGTAGCAGATTGCGCTGTGCTGGAATGAGCTGTGGATGTCTTTAGATGGACACATTGAGAAAAGCTCCCTGGATGCAGTATCTTTATGTCCTCCAGAAGTCTAAATATATTGCCTGACCTCGACACTGTGGCGACCCTCCAAACTTTAAGTTACACTACAGGGAAATACTGAGTTGGTTTAGATTGATAAACTTCTCTCTTAGAACTGTAATGTCCATAAGTTTCACTATTGTAAGTTTATTATCAGCAGAAAAAATCAAGGCTATAAATTGTAATTTCTCAATTTAATTCTTGCGTACCACGTCACTGCTTTCAAAATGTATTTTTCGTATGTTTGCCACATTGATTTGATCAAATTTTCTGAAACTTCGTACGCTAAGTTTATGGCACCCACAGGTTACAAAGCACTTCATCTTAATCGGTTGGAAACTATCTAAATGCTTTCAAAATCTATGACGTGCGGGAATCTTGATGTGGCATATACACCCGCATTTTCTTTTCGCACTTTGTCTCATTTACCAAGCGTTGTCTTGTGGTAAGGTGGTGTTTTCTGGACTAGGAAAGTGCAGTTTACTGATATCAGTGATCCCACTCTTGCGCCAACTACGCCAAAGTGCTCGAAATCAGATTTACTGTGCCATCTTGATAATATCAACTGAAATTGCGCCAAACTGTGCCAAAGTCCGATTTGAGATGGTCTATCACCGGCAATAGCCGCGCAGGCAAGTCAATACATCTGCACCTTGTTTTCGGGGCCACCAATTTCACAATCACGTACCTATTTTATTGCGCTGACTAAACAGCGGTCACGTGTGCGCTCTTTAATCCACGATGCTATGTTTGGTGCCAACGCAACTCTGTTTTGCAAGTCCACTTAACTGTGAAATGCGCTCTCCGCGGAGCCTTGTGATGTCTAGTCCAATCGGTAGCGTGAAACTGTGGCGGTGATTCATTGGTAGACGTATTTCGTTCCAAGAACGCTGCTGATAGTTCGTTTGAAGAGCTGCACGGCATGTAATAAAGCAATTTTCACTAATAACTCCACACGTGCCTTCAGAATATCATGTCCGTGCTACGTGTCCGCAGAAGAACAGGTAAATGATGGGAACGCATTGAAACGTTTCGTCTAATATGATTTATGCATGGATCATCATACAGAGGAGTTTTTTCCTAATTCCTTGCACCGGCAGGTCAGCATTTATAATCGCTGTGGTGGTAAAAGCCCCTGAAAGACCCTGCCCTTTGGAACTCCATGTTGCTAGGGTCCGATCCGAAAATTTTTGTGTGCTTTATTTTTAAATGTCTCATTTATAAAAGCATGCCTCCCAGTCAGAGCTGCCGCTATTCGGTTTTAATACGTGCAGCTGTAGTGAGGCCATCGCTGGCGGTTCTGTTGTCAGAAGGCCTATGAAGTGGCTAAGCCCTGTTACAGGTCCGCCTCTTGCTTTCCAGGGTCAATAGCTGATGGGTTAAAAAAATATTGAATATCATTGCATCACATTTATTGGTTCGTTTCGATGGGAGGGGTGGAGGGGAGACTGCTGCGGCGCTTGAAGTAGCTGGCGCACGCCATCTTGACGCATAATAAGACTGCTCGTGAATTTTCTGTGCTACTAACCTCTGCTTTGTGGTTAGATAATTGACAGCACGAAAGCTTTCGCAAGTAGAATAATCACTGTTCCTTTAGCCAGCGTTCTTTTGAGTTACCCGATATCGGCAATATCAAATCGGAAATATACAACTTGTTAGTTTCACTTGCGCTCTTAGCAATAAATGCGATATCAACAAATTGTATTGTTATACCAAATAATGAGGCTTGACGCCATCCCTGAGAAGCGCTAGTGGAGGGGTTGCCATTTCTAAGGTCCACACACCTGCAGGAATTTGCTACACGTGCGGTGTTCGATATTCGCTACTTTGGTAGCTAGAGACCCCCGAAATATCTCTTGCACGCCAATGCGCGTACAGATGGAATCATACTTGTCTAGAGTGCCCAGGCAAGCTGCTTCAGCTGGTGTTTTCTTCAGAAATAAGTAACGAGAGACGCTGTACTGCTACTAAACATAGTCGTACTGCGTGTTAAGCCCTTGTGCTGTAATGTAAGCACCAATGGAAGCCTGTAGCTAACTGTGAGACAGAAGCCGTGGCTAACAGTGTTGACAGGCACGCGCTTTGCTACTCTAGACCACTGTGATTCTATCTGTACAGTACGAACAGGCACTAACGAAAGGACCTCCGAAATGCCGTGACGATGGTGTGGCCGCCTTGCGATCAATGCTCAATGCATACCCTTACATGGCCGCTCTAGAAAGCAAAGCACTTTTCACACAGTCTGTTCTCGTTGAGAGTGCAAGGTAGAAGGGTATACCAGTCGTAAATAGCATGTGCACAGCGATCACACCCTTGAAGTCAAAGCTCATAAAAGTCTCTCCCCCCATCGCTTTCTTAGCTCGATCCTTCCTGTGCCTTGGACATGGGTGGCGCGTTCCCCTCTGCTTGAGTAACAATTAATGCGAAGCCTGGCATGCGGGGTGATGTTATCGCATCTGCCTTCAGTGCAAAGGCTCTTATGGTGTCTGCTGTAGCCTCATTCGTCGCCCCAACTCGCGCGCTTTTGCCTGCATGGTGAACAAACGACGTGCCGGGGGTTGCTATCGATTTGGGTAATACACAAAACAAGACGACCAGTGGCGCAGCCAGGGGGGGGAGGGCACATCAGAAACAAGCCTCCCTCATCAGGTGACACGTAAGGGGTTTTTGGTGTATAGACAAGACGCCCTAGTCACATAAAATGTCTCTGCAAAAGGAAAATGAAGTTTGTTAAGTTGTGTAGTTTCAGCACAGAGATGAGTGCCGGAGGAGGTTGGCTTTTGTGAGACTAGCTGAATGACGTCATGTTATGCCTATCAGTCTAATCGATCGTCAAGAAAAAGAACCTTTCTTTATTCTTAAAGTCATCTTAGTGAGATGCATTTGGAACTGTGTGAGTCTCTAGCGTTGTACGTCGTAGCGTTTGTCTACCATATCTGCTGATTATCACATAGGTGTATTTATATTTCACGATGTGCAATTTTGTTCGACCTGCATTCTGTTTATTTGCCACGAAAATAATCTCTGAACAAGTTTTTTCAGAATGCTTATCAGCATGATGCCATTATTCCTTCATCATCAACTAAAGTAGTGCTTGTAAGATGACTGGCTCCATGAAATTTGAAAAATTACAATGAATCTAAATATTTCTAGTTCTTCACAAGAGCCTCAGAATAATTTTTCACCTCCTTCAATGTAAATGCAACTTGCTTCTCCTCCAGGATTTGAAGTTAGCTGCTGCAGATTGCTCCAAAGTTGATAATTTTACTGCTCCAAAAATCACTCCAAATCTGAAGACCTCAGTGGCATCATTGAGAATGCCAACACAACACGACAGCACCGCTCACGTGCTCTGGGGCTCGGGCATGTCATGGGCATGGGAATTTGCATGCCCATAATTTTTTCATGCGTGTGTGATCGTCTGATACCGAGGAGGGCAGGGAGGGGATTTGGCTTGTGAAGGCTACATGGGGTGAGGGTTTCGAGCTTGCCTTATCGCATCATTGTTTTGCACTGCTTCAACATAATTTGGTTTTTCTCAGCTTGTTCATAATTAACCAATGTGAAGAATTCTTGTGGCATAATATTGTTCGTCGTTGGGCACACAACCATTTCAGAAATTTTCTATGTGACCTGGTGAGGGGCTGTTTGAGATGCTCTTCAGGAGCTCTAGGAATTGTCGAACACTAATCAATTAAAACATGTTCTCTGTTTGTAGGAGAGCCTGGAACAAGTGCTTGCACAACTGCCCAAGGTGAGTTTTTCATGACAGTCATTGAAATCATTACATCATATCTTTTTTCTAGGCTTAGTAGCTTAAGATGTATTTGTGTACTTGTTTAATCACTGTGGTGTATGCAGCATACACTGGGAGAAATGAACACGAAAACAAAAAGCGAACAAGGCCTTGTGTCCCCCTTTTGCTTTTGTGTTTGCTGGTTTATCCGCTGTACAGTGCCATGCATTGTAAGACAGCAGATTTTGTTTGCACATCTGGCCACAATGTCCATACTGTATAAAAGTCAAAATGGTTCAGTTGAAAGAGTTGACCGTCTGGCGAGCTGATGTTTGTACATAGAGACCATTATGAGTAGTGCAACGAGACAAAACAACATTGTCAGTAGCACTACGAGACAGGATAACAGAAGATGTCATTGTATACAAGGCACCTTTTGATGTGTCAGTATTTTGATTCTCCTCCTGCTTAGAGGCATGGCATTGTGTAATTTTAAACTTCCAAAAACCACCACTGTGTATGTTGAATGCTTACTGCTGTTTGTAGGAGTTAAAGTGATGCTGCTTGAGATAGAAGATGCAAAAAGTTTTTCAAGCTCAGTTAAATACTTGCTCCATCGAGAACAATAAAACTCCAGGTCTGCGTGGAAGGCGCAGCACAGTCACAGGGAAAGCATGAGGAGTGGCCTTTCACAGCTTTTTCTAAACACTCTTTGGGTAAATGCTAGAAGCGCACTTGCTGGGTACCAACTACGCCATAAATATTTATAATTTCTGTGTAGTAAGCTGGCATCCACTGTGCTATCCTTCGTTATTTGTTGGAGAAGCGTGGTATCCTCTAAACAGTTGTAACGAATTTTGTGCTGCATTCAGTAGCTGATGGCGATGAAGAATCATGAATGAAGTGGGTATGTGCCACAGTTAATAGGTGATGAAGAATGAGCCTTTGAAATGTGTGGGGCCATTGGACGACCCACTCTTTACACGATTTACATTGTGTGCACCTGCTTTTTTCTTTGCTGTTCTAAAACGCTTTATTACTCGTATTAGTGGGATTCCTTTCCCTGGCATTAAGCCTGCCAAAGGCAAGTTTGCAAACGAGTCCCAAGCACCAGTGTGGCTCAGTAGTGGAATACTGGGCTGCCACGCAGAGGACCTGGGTTCGAATCTCACTGTGTCACCACATGTGTTTGGTGTTTTTAATGTGTTTTTTTTTCTTATCTCAAGGCGTGCAATAGGGGTTATAGACACAGGGGGTGGTGGTGGCAGACAACTACGGCCCTGCGTGTGACCCGTGTTGTGATTTCATAACAGCTTTCGCTGTAAAAATATAACCATGCACAAAACTGTGTGCATGATTTGATGTCTTACCTATAGTACTTGTTTTACATATTATAATAATGTGCATAGTGAAAAGAGTATTGTAATGATTGCATTTCTGTATGTACTGTCTTGCATATGGTTGATGCTCTATTTCTTCTGAAATCCTAATGAAATCTTTTGTATACTGTAAGTGCAATATTCACAGCATTTGAACTTTATCTTCTTCACCTGTGTATAATGATCACTTTGTTGGAAGGGTTGGTCAGGCGACTCAGCCTAATAAACATTGCCGAGACCCCAATGCTGCTACGCTCTCGCAGAGTGGTGGAGACTGCTTTCGATTCCTAGGTCTTCTCTGACAGCACGCTTTTTTGGAGCTTTATTCAGGCCGCCGCTTGCTCCACACCTCTGCTGTCATGGCCCAAGAAACACTGCCCGGACAATCCAGCATCCTCTCCCAACAAATCATTTTCGCATGGATTGTCAACACCCGGCAGCGAGACCCACCCATGTTTTCTGTGACAATGTCGAGGTATGGCTGAATGGGTACAACATGACATGTGTGTACAACTAATAGGACGAACCTTGAAAACCTTGTCACATCGCCTGCTTTCTGTCCAATGTTGCCAAAATTCGTTTTTTAACCATGAGAGCAGCTTCATTGATTGCCCTACTTTCGTTCAACAAATTAAGAGAACTTTTGGGGAACCTAACACCCATTCTGAAGTGTCAAAACAAAAGCTCGACGGGCGTGCCCAAATTCCAGGAAAAACGTGCACTTCGCACATCGAAGACATCCTTGCCCTTTGCCTCCGCGGGGACTTGGCCATGACAGAAGCTGATAATGTTTGACACATCCTCAAAGGGTAGGTCATGTTGCGTTCAATGCTCTGGCTGTCAAAAACTCCCACCACCTTTGAGGACGTCATCACCACTTGTCAACATCTTGACGAACTACAAGCCATCTGATTGCACCCGATGACGTCCAACCTTCCTCGGATACGGATTTGCACACACTCATTCACACTCTGATTCACAAGGAGCTTCAAGCACAAGAGTTCTCGTGAGCATCCGCCCCTTGGCCTCACTCCTCGTCTGCTGGTTTGCGTAACATGATCAAAGAGGAGCTGTCATACGTGACTCGCTCTCTCACATCCAACACTGCGATGCCATCAATGCCATCCGCAATGTAAGCACAAGTCGCTGCCATGCCACCTGCTTTGGTTTAGTACATGCATCCTGTTCCTGCTTAGTTCAACGTAGCAGCCTTTGCACCACATTAGCCTATTCTAGCGCCTGTCCCAGCTCAAGCATTCTACGCCTCCTGGAGCTCGCCTCACCCAATATGTTACTATCGTGGCATTCGGGGCGATTTTCATGATTTTGTGTTAAACTCCACCACGACGATTGCTGTGACTGCGACATTCACAAAAAAGATTCGGTGTCCTCCCGGAGCAAGTACCAGTGCCACCCTGTGAGACATTCCTTCTCTCTGTTGGAGGGGTCAGCTCTATGCACAGCTGGTGCAGAAGCCTAGCTACTGTTCAGCCGCACATAATCGTAACAGGCACAGTTAACCTCCCCTTCCAGTAGCTCCAGTCATAGTAAGCTACGACAAGTTTGGGTGAATAAAGCAATCGGCTAAGTCAGTAAAACAGCACCTTATTGCTGCATAAGCAATAACGCGTAACCCCGCAGGGGCATCTGTGAGAGCAGGTGTTTGGTGTGTGGCAACACCACCCGAGACAGCGGGAGGTTTCGACTCTCTCCTGCACCTCGTCGTGCGTGGCTTAGCCGTGTCTGCGGAGGATCCCCTTTCCAGGGCTTTCACGATTACTAGCTTAAACACTACTTTAACGAACTTTTCAGATTAACAAACTTTAAAAAAATCCCACGCCGATGGCTAATAGTTTTAATGTAAAATTATTTCACTACTATGTACTTCAGAATACCAAACTTTTCAGTATAACAAACGTTAACTTAGTTCTGCGTTCGATTAACAACGCCTCAGTACTGTGAACTCATGTTCTGGAATCCGTCGCAACCACTAAAACGGTACGGGAGCAGACGACACAGCGAACGGATGCCTTGCTTCTCGGAAGACGTGCGACGGTGCAGAGGGAAAAAAAACAACAACGAAAGGATGACTTTCTTTGATTTTTTTTTTTGTTGAAACATCGACACTGCAGGTTTACAAGCGCAGAAGCGAGGGGCGAGGACAACACGAGAGGGCAAGGTCAGCGAGGCAGAATGGGAGTTAGAGTTACTCAGCAGGAAGCATGGGCGTGGAAAACCTGAGACAGCAAAAGAGCAGGAAATGAAATGCGAGGAATTTTCTTTTCTTTATATGCGCTTTTTTTTCTTCTGAAGAGGCGACTACAGCCGTGACGCTCTTTGTCACTTCTACATGTGCTCTAGGAGGCCTTGTTTGTCAGTCATGTTTATCTCTTTTCGGTGATTACTTATTGCATCCGCAAAGCTAGTCTGTGTTCGCGCTGCGGTGCTACTACAAATGAGTTGATCTCTGCTTGCGACGAAGAAGCGGAAGCAGTTTTCGCTAAGCGAAAAAGGGGATATGTTTCGGCAACTGGAAGGCAAAAAGCAGGCAGTTGTGACCAAAGAATAAAATCGCATCACTGGAATGTGGATGAGCTGGAGGCCTTCGCGCTGCAAAGCTGGTGCTGCACACGTCAAAAAAAAAAAAAGAAAAACGCTGACTTCTTTAAAGTAATTGTACATTTTTTGTGTTCACTTGTGCATATGTTTTTTCTCGTGAAAAACGAGTTCAAGGACCCACCGTTGTAAAGGTAAGTCGTTTTGGTCGGTGGAAAATAAGTATTTGTGGTTAATTTTTGGGCCTTCACTATAACAACCTTTCAAAATAACGAATAAATTGCCACGGCCCCCTGAAATTCGTTATATCGAGATTTCATTGTATTTATCTGTCTTGTCATCATCCGTTAGTGAGCCTCCAATAAGTGAGCTGCTTGTTTTAGTCTCGTAACTTGCTAGTTGTGGGACTTACAGGTTAAGCCTAACCATAGCATCAGTCCTCACTGCACCGCCCATCGACGATGTGGCGCTCTGGGGACTGCCATGTGGGTCGTAGTCGTCATAAAAGAAGGGAAACAGTAGCAGGTGCATCGGGAACTGCTCTTATGAGGTGGGCGATTCGAGCAGCCTCATTTGGTATCTGTGGTGTAATATCAGATTCTGGGGCCCAGGACCACTCACCAAGGAACTGAGTGGAGCCACGAGTGCACACACAAAAACATGTATTTACAGAGGAAGATCTAAGAATTATTAACGTGAGATGTACTCTGATACCAATATGAATAGGATAGTTGAGATGTACAACCGTGAGATGTACAACCGTGAGATGTACAACCACGACCTTAATATAAGAAGTAGCAGTAGCCCAGATGACACCCCGCCAGTAATGATAGAAGAAGTCAGAAACGCCTTGGAGAGCATGCAAAGAGGCAAAGCTGCTGGTGAGGATCAGGTATCAGATCTGCTGAAAGATGGAGGACAAATTGTGTTAAAAAAAATAGCGACCCTGTTTACAAGGTGCCTTTGGATGGGAAGAGTAACAGAATCTTGGAAGAATGCTAATATAATCTTAATGTTTAAGAAAAAAAGATGACAAGGACTTGAAGAATTACAGGCCAATCAGCTTGCTCTCCTAGTATACAA